TGGAGTCCACACATCTGAAAGCTACTAAGGTTGAGAAACACTGGATTAGAGCGTGTGTGCAAACATGGCCTATGTGTCAACCCAAACAATGTACAGTAATAATTGGCCAATTTGTCACTTTAATGTCATCTTTAAGAGACACACTTCTTTTTCCTTTAGCGTTCAATGGAGCTATTTATTTACATCAGAGAAAATAAAAGGATTCCCTTGGGGACTTCAGTGGGATTGGGATAATCCCCAGTGCCTAGGGATGAATGCAATTCTGACCTTTTCAACAATACCCACTGCAATCTATTCACTTAATCAAAATGTGATTAAGGATGCCTAGAAAATGAATCACAGGCCTTCTTTATCATTCCATTTCATACCTTCTGGGGATGAGTGTGAGTGTAATGAAGTGTCAGACTTTCTCAAGTCATCACCTTCCAAGCATAGAAGTGTATCCTTTACCCATATTTCAACAAAGCAGAGGTATCCAAAATGACTGATGCCAAAGAAGTAATTGCTTATTTTTATTCTGATGTGTGTGTGTGTGTGTGTGTCTTCAAGTCAGTGTTGGCTCTTAATGACTGCCTGGACAAGTCGCTGCAGTTTTCTTGGCAAGGTTTCAGAAGTGGTTTGTCTGGCCTTTTTCTTCTTAGCTGAGAGAGAGGGACTGGCCCAAGGTCACCCAGCTGGCCTTGTGCCTTAGGCGGGACTAGAACTCACGGTCTCCTGGTTTCTAGCCTGGTGCCTTAACCTCTATACCAGTGTTTCTCAACCTTGACAACTTTAAGATGTGTGGACTTCAACTCCCAGAATGCCCCAGCCAGAGAGAAAAGGACTGGCCCAAGGTCACCCAGCTGGCTTCGTGCCTAAGGTGGGACTAGAACTCACGGTCTCCTGGTTTCTAGCCTGGTGCCTTAACCTCTATACCAGTGTTTCTCAACCTTGACAACTTTAAGATGTGTGGACTTCAACTCCCAGAATGCCCCAGCCAGAGAGAAAAGGACTGGCCCAAGGTCACCCAGCTGGCTTCGTGCCTAAGGTGGGACTAGAACTCACGGCCTCCTGGTTTCTAGCCTGGTGCCTTAACCTCTATACCAGTGTTTCTCAACCTTGACAACTTTAAGATGTGTGGACTTCAACTCCCAGAATGCCCCAGCCAGAGAGAAAAGGACTGGCCCAAGGTCACCCAGCTGGCTTCGTGCCTAAGGTGGGACTAGAACTCACAGTGCCTGAACCACTACAGAAGAAATAAAGGGTGCTAGTAGAACAAAAAGATCTTTGTTCAACCAAGTTACTTTGTCAAATGAAAGCCATATAGTTTTTCATCAGTGCCAAAGTCCTTGCCCTTTCAGCATAAAACAAGGGATAAAGACATTCAACTCTTGGTGAAGTCATGAATGGCAACAGTATGGAAGTGGTCTGCCATAGTTGTATTCCAAAATGTTTTCACCTTCCCCAGTGAGCCCACCACCTCATCCTCCAACCCCATCCTGGTGGCCTCTTAATGGCTACAATTACACCTTTTTGTTCTGACGATAACAACTTTTCCTATCAAATCAGGCATTTGTGTAAGAATACTTTGACTATCAAAAATGTTCACCAGCGTCAGAAGAGGGTTTTGTTATGACAACAGCCACTTACATTCCAGCTGCGCTACTATATCTTGCAATGACACGTGGCACATGACCCATGATTTCGCCATCCTCTTCAACGAAGATGGGATTTTGCAGATATAACTTTGAGGATGTCAAGTACAATCTATAAATGGTTTTTATTGTACTGTATCTTACCAGAATACAAATATCCATGTATTACGGCCCAGATAAGCAACTTTTGATATTTCCTTTAAATCTTCTCCCCATACTTCTTTAGATCCTTTAAGGAATTCCAGGCGTTTGAGAGAAGAGCAGAGACCTACTTCTCACTCAAAGGATCAGTGTAACTAAATTAGAAACTTAGCTAAGTCATAAGGCTTGATTTTCCCATAGTACGTTATATGAGCCCAGTCCTGGTGGTTTATAAACCACACGTTATGGCTTAGCTGGTTGTGTGAACCCAGTCCATTGTGATTTATTCCTGCTCTCCTGGATATTTTTCAGATGTGTGTATTTCAACTCTTGGAATTTTCAAGCCATCACAGGCGTTGCTTGGAATTCTGGGAACTGTTCCTTGTCTCAGGAAGATGCCAAGTTTAGAAAAGGCCAATTCATGCCACCCACCATGGTAACACAACAGATGAATTAAATCATTGGTTCAGACTAACAGTGGGGTATTGGCAGATACTGAGAGAGAATAACTGGCCCAAAGTCACCCAGCCCTTTTTCATGCCTAAGGTCTCCCTTAGAGAACTGATGGTCTCCCGATTTCAGCACCTTAACCACTACAACAATTTGGATCTCAAGATATGTAAATGCTCATCCCTCTGAAACTGTTCCTTGCCTATGGAGAACTAATTTGCTCTGGGGAAGGATGAATTAGACCAGGGTTTCTCAACCTTGGCAACTTTCAGATGGGCGGACTTCAACTCCCAGAATCCCCCCCCCAGACCCCCTGGCGGTGGGGGGCGGTGGGGAGTAGGGGCCCCCACCCCTAATTGGTCCGGGGGGGGGAGGCCGGGC